ATGCCCGTTCGCAGGTTGAAATTTGAAATTTGAGACGAAGGCTTGCGTAATTCGCACCAATTTTATTTTTTTGAAAGGCCTGCGGAGGAGGTAGACTAATTCACAAGATTTCTTAACGTCGTTTATTCCCTAACCACCTGACATTCATGAAGTTATCGACTCTTCAATAATATAGCATCTTACTATATATTCAAGAAAAAATCGAAAAAATACTACATACTGAATAACTGAAAAACTACTACCAAAACAACATCTGCAATATCAAATTTTTATATAAATTAATAATAATACACTTTTGTGATCATAACATTTTATTTACTGTAGCACTATATGTAAATACTTTATCATATTGCACCTCACTTGAAGCACTGTCACCTAGTTTTGTTTGTAAATAGGATTATTTTGTAATTTAAAATGTAACTAGGGGTCTTAATAAAAAGCCTTTTGATGGTTTCTAGTAGGCCCCTAGCTCTAGATAATAAACATGTAAATATAATAATCAAAATTTTTGTAATTAAATTGGACGAATTAAATTTAAAAAAAAACCAAAAAAAAACTCTTACATATTCGCTTATCGTCACCGAAGAATCAGTTTTCAGGAAACGTCATTCCACGTTTTATCCCCCGATCCGGGTTTTATTCTTTTATCCGCGTTTCATCCCCTCTTTCACCGCGTTTTATCCTGACTCCACGGTATAACGCTTGAATTCAATAATGGTAATAATTAAATTCCTCTCAGAAACACAACTCGATATTTCAATGTATTGAAAACGAAACTTCGTAGCTTTTATTGAAATGTGTACAGAACTGACTTGTAAAAATGTGTCAAATTCTCAACCGGCTTAAATCACTATATATATATATTGATCTGTTAAGTATTTTTCACTCAGTTAGCACCAACTGTATTCTAAGCAGAATTGAGATATGTATCTATGAATGTCAACATTTCTGAAAATGACCATCCTTTGCTACACTAGATTTCTAATCTTAACTTCTAAAGTTGAGAAATTGGTCGCCATCTGCTAGCCTATGAGAAGACCCAATAGTAAGACGATTTTTTCCATTCGACAGGTCAACATGAGAGGAAAGAAGGAATTATTCATGCTGAACACAGGCCTCGTGTTGTTTATATTTGATCTGGTCACAGACATCGTTGTAGCTGCACAGTATAGGCTTAAAGGCGAATATTGGTGGTTTGGTTTCACGTTAGTTTTTATTATCGTTCCTCTTTTCATCATCAGTTTTATGGCTGCCTTTCAAGCAGACTTTTGTCAAACACTAAGCTGTTGTTTAATGTTTTTGTGTTCTTCCATATTTGTGCGTTATGTCGAAGAGTTCAAATATTGGAAGCAAACACATTGGGATAATCCCCCTTGTGGAGACAACTATAAGGAATGCAATTGTCCAGATTGCGAAAAGTACCGCGTGGCGATAACGGAATCTAACAAGTCAGCATACAAGCTCGCGTGGGTACGTTATGTAGAGACACTTACAGAGTCTACTCCACAATGGTGTCTACAGATTTACATCATGTTACGTCAGTGGGATTTTCCATGGTTAACCATGCTCTCAACCGTGATTTCCCTGCTTTCTTTAGCATGGAGTATTACCGCTCTTGAGAAAGCGAGAGTAAATAAAAATAGCCACCATAATTTCACACTGGCAGCCACGGTTGTATTTTTCACTTCTCAATTGTTTAGTTTGCTATCCAGACTTTTCGCAATTGCAGCATTCGCATACGTCTTTAAGGCACATGTGTTCACAGCACTGGCGGTTCATTGGCTAATGATGAATGTTGTCTTATGGTTGGCAGACGGGTGTAATGAACGCGGGTGTGAGTTGGCAGGAACGTTTTTGTCGTATAGTATGTTCACCTTTCTACTTATGTTACACGTGCCAGATTCGTTGACCGAAGGTGATTACAGTGACTGGTTCACCAAACTGTGGTACAGTTTAATATCCGTAGAGAACGTTTTGTTCGCAATCTTGGCGTTGACAATACCAACATCTGATGTGAAACATATGAGTGTACTGAGACCAATTGTGCTGTCGTTGGTTATACTAGGCGTGGTCCTAGGTACCATTTTTCTCATCGTATATAACAAGCACCTCAAACCGACAGAAGAACGGAGAGAAGAACCAACAGAAGAACCAGTAGTTTAATTAAGGCAAACTCATGAAAAATGGACAAGAATTAGAAAGCACATGTTATACAGCCCACATTGTGAATATTATCAAGTGAATGAAACACTTGGGACGAAAAACACTTGATAAACTTTATTAACTGTATTAGGGTTTAATACACAATTACTGGTAAACTAGTAACTAATTGTGTATCATAAGAAATAAGTATTGCTATGAACATAAGAAATAAATAATAAAATGCTATGAGAATTAACAATGCGGTGCTATTATCGCAAACAATAACAATATATATGAAAAAGTACTCATTTCTGATCGATTAAGAGTCCTGCAATTTTACTGAAAAACAGTGTCACGTAGCCTAGCGCGTGACTTGCAAGCAAATCACTAAGAATGACAGTTGAAAACTTGTATGAAATTGTTGTGTCATTCCAATGAATGAGTAAATCATTTATATCTCATGTGGTTCATGCATGCACGTGACCACAATTTGTTTCGGCATAATTTATTCAGGTATATTATGAATAATTATAGTGTGGTTTCTCGTGAAATTTGGGAAAATATACTACACTTGTAAGTTTTTCAAAGGCTGCTGTCGTTCTTCGTCGGGACTTCGTCGACAATTTTGGTCGTTTTTGACAAGTTTTCTTTCAAATTAACGATTTTTTTACATTATATATTGAATTGTAGATCGCATTCAGTTAACGTAATTCAAACTATAGCTGTCAAATTAACTATATACAGTATAACAGCCTATAACAAATACATAATTCTGGAGTTTTCTATTCCTTATTGTCTATTCCTAAATCTGCCTTTTTGCGAGTATGTGCGGTGTTTCGATTCTATTATAGAATTATAAAAAGGTTCGAACATGCCTGATTTTTTGCACGTTCAAAGCTAGTCATCTGTAAAAGTTGACACGAGCGTGAATAGCCTCGGGTCCAATTCTCCATAAGCTATTGAGCTATTGTACCAACAGGGATTGGTGTAGAGTTTTATCCATTTTTAAGAGGACGGAATATTTTTGTGACTACTACTTAAACAAACGCTAGGAATTTTGTTTTTTTTTTGGGGGGGGACAACTTAATAATTTGCAAGTCACAATTCTAGGCATGCTCCCCCCCGGAAAAGATTGAATTTTGGGTCTCTGAAACGGCATTTCCTGCATTGTGGAGGCACTTGAAAAAAAATGTAAAGGTCTTAATAAGTCAGTTTGTAATAGTGACAAATATTCACAATACTTGACAATTTAATTCAGTGGAGACATTTATCATTTGTAGCCGACTTGGAGCGAGGGGGATTCGTCGAAATATTATCCGAAGTAATGATATTTCCCAAGGGGCTTTGCGCCAAGTGCGTTCTTTGAAGTTTAAAAACTTAATAATTCATCACTCCTTAATATATTGTTCGCGTGGTCGCCGCGCGTGGTTTACACGAATCATAACACCCGGGTGATATGCTGATCAAATCACCGTGTGATATGATTGAAGTCACCCGCTACGACAAACACGATGACGTAAGGCGTGATTCGATACAAATACGTTAATGTAAGTCCCTCGCGGTATTCCAATTAAGTTACGTAAACTTAGTAAGCCAAACTTCAATAGAAAGATATACATGCATAATTTACTATTGCACAGGTCATGTTACAGGTTCTGCAACTGCATTTTACAGTTTTAAAATAGATTTTAAAGCAATTTAAAAGCGGTGACCTTGAGTATAAAAGATAGAAATATGTTGGTATACGTTTGGATTGAATTCGAGTATTTGAATTAGCGTATCAGACGCCATTTCGAACACATAATTTCGCGCTGTTTTATGTTGAATTGAATAAGTGATACTTAATAGTTAATATAACAAATGCACTCTAGATGGTAGAATATAAACCATGGATAGTTCTAGAAAGTATGCCTTTATGATCTATGAATAAACTATAAGCTCTTAATACAATTTTAGAGCGCTGCACCGGAATCGCAGAACCACACTAGGTTTGATTCCTGACAGGGACCTATAACCAGGGACGCCGGAACTGGGGGGGCAGGGGGGGCGGCTGCCCCCCTTGCCTTTTGCTAGAGGGGGCAGGGGGGGCAGAAGTGCCCTTTTAGTTGTAAAATAGTAAGTGATAAATCACATTTCCAACGATGCTTTTTGTAGGAAAATCACGAGATTCAGGTAATTTATAGTTTATATTTATAAAAATTTGGAATTTAGAAAAATGTTTTGAAGAAATGGCGAAAATTTAAGATATCCGGAAAAATTTTTGGCTTCACGGAAAATTTTTGTATGTCCGGAAAAATTTTTTGACCCCTAAAATGGTACACTGACCGAAATTTTTTGGTAAAAAAAATTTTCAGTAAAGGTGCCCTTGGTGTGCGTCCGCCCCCCTTTGCCCTATTATCGTTCCGGCGTCCCTGCCTATAACCTATAGTTGCATTTTTATCTTCTGTTCCTGGTTATATCTGATAAATGTTTATAAATTTCCACTCGATAATTTCCATCTTCAATATCCTTCAAATATTATTTAATATCGAGTGAGATGCCAACAAAATCTTGATATTTTCACTAATAATCCAATTTTCGTCGTGAGTTGTGACCTAGCTCCATTGGTATTGTTTTTGTTTTCAAATAACTTGCGTGAAAACATCTCCTATTTCGCAGAATAGACGCACAGTTTCCAAGGAACGTGCAGGTTACTTAGCTTTTGCGCACGCTCAGATAAATGAAAAAAATGAAAAGCAATATTTACCTGGGATTTTCAAACACTATCTTTCCCGTGAATGTTTCCTAACAATATAAACTCTTCAACGCTTCGCTTTGATTTTTGGCGAAAACAAAATATATTTTTGCACGGGAATATTTCTCGAAGACGACCCATTACACGAAGAAACATGATACATAATTGCCAAACAGTTACACTTTGGTTTAATGTAGAAATCTCAAGTGAAAACGGCCTTCTTCGCCGATTTTTTCCTTGTTTTCTTGTTTATTTTTTACTATTTTAAATAAAATTCCCGCCTATTTGCAAAATACGAGTCCACAATTATGTTAAAAATGGTTGTAAGCGCTCGTTAATCACTCTTTACTTTATGCAATTTTACTGTTTAACCACCCCACGCAAGCCCCACGCAAGTTAACTACGTGATCATCCAATAAACTGCGTTTTTGTGCAACGCAATTAACTCGTGTAGTTAACCAATCATATTTAAGGATTTAACTACAGTGATTAACGCTAGTTAAAGTTAACGACGTTTTTATACAACAAGCCCCACTTGTTTTTTGCCACAAATATAGCGGCTTATTCCGTTGCCATGCCATGTGTATACTTGCGTTATGTGAAATCTATAGATAATTATTATCATTTGTGAGTTCCTTTTGCATGAATTTCGAAGTATGGCAACAAAACTAGAATTATTCGTAAGCTTGCTGTTGTATATATTTGACTTGGTATCTGACATTCTTTTATATGTGTCCAGTATTGGAACAATAATGAATCTTGATGGTTTTGGATGACAGTTGTTTTAATCGGCAGTTTAAGCCGAACTTGTGAAGAAATAGTAATATGGTTATATTAGAAACCACATTTATCGCTTCCTTTTTAACACTATGTCTGAAAGATATCCGTTGCAACGATTAGCTCTGTTTTCTGTGCGCGAACATTGCGCAATTGACCAAGTCAGACAGCACCTGGAATAATTACGAAAATGTGCGTCTTGCGCAACGCACATGCCGATTTATTAATTTTTGAAAACAATGAGATAATTATTAACATAATTTATAAACCGAAGTTAATTATTAAAAGTTCACACAGAAAAAGTGGGGTAATAAATACGCCCACCACTTAGAAATGAATAACTAAACTAATTTACATATGCAATATTGCGTCAAGTAAACATGGAGGAGGATGGGTTATCAATTGACTTCAGCCAGAGAGTTGACTACCAGATTGAAGAGCAGAATGAACTGATGCACATACTGCAGTAGATTATATCACGATTCCTATCCGCTTCCTGTGCATTATATTCATGTGACAATACGAATTTATCCACGTGTCCCATTACAATAGCTCCTTATCTATAAAATTAGATGCAGGCAGCAATAAAATCTTTATTGGTATGCCAATAATTCCTTTAAGAGCTGCGTTTTTTATACTCACATATACACGTGGGAAAATATAATTATGGTTTTTGCAATAATGGTTGACTCCTCCACAGCAGACCCTACTGCACCATGGGAAGGTCACACATAATTCCAACAGGGCCTGCGGTAAGAAAATATGCAATAATAAATTTTAATAATTAAGTCTTTTACGACTTTTTATTAATTAATTTGAGCTCTTTAAGCCTTCAGGGTAAACTTTTGCACTAGTTTTAGTTCTCAAATAAAAGTTTAACGTTCGAAATTGCTAAAAATGGAGTGGCTATGACGTAAGCAAGAGTGCATGACGCCATTTTGTTTACAAGATTCTGCAGGCCTCTAGAAGTTGTAACCTTCCCATGAGGCATGGGGGCCTGTGCAGGAGGCTGCGGTAATTTGGAAGGGTGAAGACTAGTATATAGTAATATGATATGACATCTTTATTTTCACACGAAGTCCATTCACAATTACAAATATATGCTCTTCCATCAAGACGTGCATTTAAATAAAATACATAAACATAGGAAAGAACTAAACTACTTATAAAAATATGTGCATATAATATATGAATTTACGAAATGGGAGACAAAAACTCACTCAAAGAATGTGCACTGGATATTTGGACGGGCATGTTGTTCCACAAAATTGCACCTTTATAGCTAAAACATTTCTTACGAAATTCTGACAGGGGCCTAGGAACAAAATTTTTATGATTTGCCCCACGTAAGTTGTGCTCGTGTACTGAAGACGTTGGAATGGATTTATTGGTTAAATAACTGGGAACCATACCATGTCTATCATTGGCCGTCTAGTACATTATACAGTATAGTGTTCTACTTTAGGGACCGCTCATTATTTATTGTACAGGGGGGGGGGACTGAGGAGAAACTCTACAGTTGTAATATTTTTTCGTTGCCCCCCTCTTAAGACAAGTAAAATTTTCAAAGCCCCCCCCCAACAGGCAAAGCAACAACATAAATTTTGCCCCCCCCC